AATTTACGAAATGATGACTTTAAACGAGACTGTTGATATTCTTGTTTCATCAACTTGCTTGTTAATAATTTACTTCGTTTTAGAAATTGTTCATACGTAGAGCATGCTCTTGTGTATCGAATCAACTGAGATATAATTATACATTCTGTATGCAGGTGTTGAAGGTTTATTGTTGCATAAGTAAGGGAAGTTGACGATAGAAAAGTTAAATTCATCACGTTTATCATATAGCTTGCTTTTTATATTACCATTAACGTCTCTTCCAAGTAAACTATCCAAGGATGAAACAGATGTGTCAGACTCTGTGATATCTTTGATCCCAAGCTCACCAGGATATATCGCATCGACGTAGGAATGGAAATGACCATTGTTAATTGACAATACGTCGTCGATATGTCTAAATGTCGAGTTGAAGGCAAAACAGCAGGTGTATTCTTCTTTTCAAGCAGGTTGGATCCTGTGATCTGTACAATTGAGAATTTTTTGTCATGTATATTTTTAGAATCTCCACACAAAGCGTGATATAAATTAAAATTAACGGAGTAATTAATATGAACCTTTTATACACTGATTAGGTCTAAAACTTAAATCAATTTTTCTTAGTTTTTCCTCTGCAATTTTTTATCCACATAAATTTTTGGCATAAAAACAATTTTTTTCTTCATTTTGAAAAGTCACATTTAAGTTAATGGCAATAGAAATATTCAAATTACTTTGCATAGTCTATAATTTGACCTTTCTGTTCTTAAAAATGTTATTTTTCTACTGTTAAAAATTTAAAAAACAATAAAAGCATTTGAAAGGAATTCAATTTTTTTTAATTTGAGTAGAAAGGTTAAAATTATCGTATATACCGGGTATTTGGAAAATGAAATAAAAAGTGGGAACCTGTGATGTTTATATTAGATATTACTAAAATGGTGCTAATTCCAAGTTTAAATTGGACCATTTTCATACCCCCTCCCCCAGCTTGAAAAGTGGGTGGTTACATGGTAATCGGGATGTCCGTCCGTCCGTCTGTCTGTCTCTACATCCGTCTGTCTGTTATGTTTTGGGTACCTATCGCTTATCCGCAACTCCTCTTATACCATTGAATGAAATTTGATGAAACTTTCACATAATCTTTATTACATAATGCTATTGTGCACCTCCTATTTTACTTTATGATCCGACATAAATTTTAGGTTTTCAACTGCAAAACATGGACACTTCATCATATTCATATGTATGGCACGCCAAATTCACAAAAATGAGCTTAACATAGTTTCACAGTTGGTAAACTAGGTTTATCGACAGTTAACTATAGTTTACAAACCGTGAGCTATAGTTAATAATTCGTTAACTCTAGTTTTCATTCTGTAAAACTATATTTAACGGTTGTTAACTATTGTTTACGAATGCTAATCTACGTTTATTTGTCTGTAATAAAACGTTAATAATAGAATCTGACGATATACATAGATCTACGTCTGTAAACTATAATTTACAAACGTAAACTTAGTTAAGAGTAGTTAATCATAGTTTCACAAATCGTGAAACTATATTTATCAGATTGTTAAGTATAGTTAAGAGCTGTAAACCATAGTTTACAAATGGTGAAACTGTATTTATCAGATAATCTTTGTTTTGCAATCGCAAATTATTGTTTTCAGTGTTAAGTATAGTTAAAGGTTCTGAAACATAGATTATTGCGTTAACTATGGTTTACAGATGTAAAATATAAATTAACATTGTAAACTAAAGTTTACAGTCCGTAATCTACATTTATAGTTTACAATCGATAAACCTAGTTTATCGACTGTGAACTATGTTTAGCTCATTTTTGTGAATTTGGTGTGCCATACATATGGGAGGCGGGGTATCGTTTAGTGACCTCATTGCTCCGAGTTTCCAACTGCTTTCATTATATTTGCCATAGAAGGTGATAGAAGACATGGCAGTTAATTTAATAAATAATTTAGGACCAAAAAGAAAATATTACTTCACATAATTACTCAGTTTGCAGGCTGCATGTAAAAATAGAATTCCAAACTTCACAATACTAAATACTTCGAAAGAGGAAAACATGATCTTTTTCTTAAAAAAAACCTCCTCTAAATGTTTTCAGCATGGACTTTAATAATGGAGTTTTAATGGAAAAGAGTTTATTAGCATTATAGATTTCAAATTTACTATTTTTTGTAATAACTAAACTATTATGCAAAATATTTTTAATAGAGGTAAAGACAAATATCTGCTTAAAAGCTGGGGAGCGAACCTCTTTAACTAAGATATTTAGATACTATCAATTAACAATACCATATTTTATTCTTAGAGACAAGAAATGTGTCATTTCAAAAAGTAAAATAGGAGATGTACAAAGGCATTATGTAATGGATTATCTGTGATAATATCATTAAATTTCTTTCAATGGTATAGGGGGATTTGCGGAAAAGAGATGAGTACCCTTCAATAATACACAAAGGATGGCAGTGTCCATGTTTTGCATGAAATATGTGTTCGATCAAAAGGTAAAACTAGAGAGTGCACAATGGCACGATGTAATAAAGATTCCGTAAAAGTATCATTAAAATTTATTCAGTGGTATAAGAAGAGTTGCGGATGGGAGGGACGGACGTACAGGTCGACAGAAGGACAGGTTATATAGACGGACGGACGTACATCATGATCACTATGTACTTTCCTACTTTTCAAGCTGGATACCACAGATACCACATAGTTTGACACATCAGATTTATATTTGAATATTTTATAAGAAAAGTCGTTTGTAACCTGATAACAAAACTTTATGAAAAACGGGATGGCTTTTTCTATACTCAGCTTCCCTTACGTATCAAATACAGTAAAACTAAATGCTTTTTTCTAATCCGTCAGTCATTGCGCATGCACTTGTATTAAACACGAGCGTTTTTGATCTGTATAAAATAATTGAGAATATTATAAATAATTGTTTGATATTTTTTCCAAACTGATGATAAGATTTCGATTATTGTGTGTAAATTAGGTAAATTTTTTTTTATTAATTCATAGAATTTATTTTTGCTTTCACATTTACAGACTATGTACAATAGATTTGTTTCCATTCAATACATACTTTTTCTTCCATGTAATTCATATTATATACTTAATACAAATTCTCTTTGGTAAATACTAAATACAAGTTCATTTCATAAAGCTGCAAAAGTTATATTAATGTTTATGCTTGCATAAACAGGGTTTGTGTCAGCAATCAACTTCCGGAAACTACAATTCCACCGTCCAGGTTTTAATTTATATTTTTCTGTATTCTGATTGGCTGATATAAATATCCTTCTTTTGTGTAAGCGTCACTGATCTATGTACATGTTATTATTTACTTTTGTGTTTATTCTTGTGGAAAGTGTTTCCCATACAACAACTTTGCTGTTTTACCGTGTTTCTTGACTATATCTGCCTTTAGGAACGTATTGTGACCGTGTACTATCACCGTTATTTGTACAGTGTAAGAAAAATTAAGCAACAAACTGACGATGGCAGAGAGACGCGGCCGTTCCCGCCAAAGGACGAATGCCTTGGATTCGTCCAATCCACAGAATTGGACTCTTTCTAAACTAAGAACAGAACTGAGAAATATTGGAATTGCCGTCCCATCCTCTGTGGACAGAAACACTACTCTGAAACTGTTTCTCGAAAATAAAGACAGAAACACACCGAACCCCAGTGCCGCTAACCGCAATGTCAATACCGACATTGCCGCCAATCTACTGAGTCAACCTAATTCGGAAACCAGTGTAGCGAATTCTAATTCTAATACGAGAGAACTATTTTCCATCGCAGACTCCTTAGCTTCAAATCGTCTACAAGTGCGCATGAATACAGTCACTTCCGCCCTCGCCTTCACAAAACACTGACAATTAGCGAATTTATAACCGCTTTTGGGAAATACAAGAGAATCATGTGCACTAAATTCCCTGAAAGAAGAGTTGAGCTGGATAGATACGAAGGCAATATCGTAGAAATCTCAAATGTGTATGGCCAGAAGTTCTACGATTACCACACACAGCTCTCTGCACGAGCGGCTGCTGCCCTGCATGACTTAAACATCAAAGTTGATTGGTCCATCAAGGATAACGCCCTCCTGAGCATGGTCATGGGGAATGCCCGAGTGTCCGCCTGTCATCTTTGCAACTCAACATCACATTCCGGCTCGTTTTGTCCTCTCTTACGCATTAAACCATCTCAATACCAGATGCTGAAAAATGCTCAATCTCTCAATTCCGCTAAAGAAGACAAATATGGCAGACCACGAAAGACTTACAATGTCTCGGAAATCTGCAACAACTTCAATTCAGGAAAATGCAGTAGAAAAAACTGCATTTTCTCTCACGTATGCAACACCTGCAAGTCAAGCGACCATGGAAGCCATGCATGTGAGGAAAGCACGAAAAAGAGCAAATGACTAGATAACCTTAAACCAAATTCCTTTCCACTTGCCGCTTCCACGCCTGTTGACATTGATCGTCTAGAATTGGAACTCAGAATGCACCCTGATTCAAATTTTGTTAAATATCTCTGTGATGGCCTGCGCTATGGATTCTATACTATGATTAATAACCTGGACATTCCAAGTAAAGAATGCCGGAATCTTCTCTCTGCCACCTCACACCCCCAAATAGTGGATGATCTTCTAAGCAAAGAAGTGGAGAAGGGTTACCTACAAGTACCTTTTGTCGAACCCCCTTTTTCACACTACAGAGTTAGTCCCATTGGAGTTAGCTTTAAAAAATATTCAAATAAAGCACGTTTAATAGTGGACTTATCAGCACCTCATTCAGATCCTTCTGATCCCAGCATCAATTCTCTAATCGACAAAGAGAAATGCTCTCTAACCTACGTCACTACCGATGATGCCGTAAATATTATTCAAAAACTTGGTCCAGGAACCACAATGTGCAAAACAGACATATCGGATACCAGATACTACTATTACCTTCCTTGGAATCACTTTAGACTCTCTTAAGATGGAAGCCAGACTGCCGCTTGACAAGATTTCTAGAATCATATCTTTCATTGAAGAATTTCTCGTAAAGAAATCTTGCACTAAAAGGGAGCTTCTACAAATACTCGGACATCTCAGTTTCGCTAGCAGAGTCATAGTTCCAGGACGCTCTTTCGTGTCACACCTTATTACCCTGTCCACAACAGTTAAACAGCTCCATTTTCATATTACCTTGAATAAAGGCTCCAGAGACGACATGAAAATGTGGCTAATCTTTCTCAAACAATGGAATGGTATATCTGTGTTCTATAATGAAATCGAGGTCAGTTCAGACGCTCTGCAACTCTACACAGACGCTTCAGGAACCCTTGGGCATGGAGGTTTTTTCCAAGGACAATGGTTTTCAGAAGCCTGGCCTCCTCCTTTACAACGTACATGTAAAGACAGTGACGAACTCTCCATTGCATTCCGCGAATTGTATCCAATCGTCGTGGCCGCTTTGCTATGGGGTCAATCATGGAAAAAGCAACGCATCGTATTCTCTTGTGATAACCAAACTACAGTGGCTATAATCAATAAGGGTCGCTCCAAATGCCCAAAGATCATGGCACTCGTTCGCCGCCTTACTTTATGTGCAGCTACTAATAACTTTGTATTTAAAAGCAAATATCTCAAAGGTAAACGAAATGTTATTGCTAATAGTCTGTCTCGTTTACAGATCACAAGGTTTCAACAGCTGGCTCCAGATGCCAACAAAACGCCTTGCAAAGTCCCGGAATACCAGGAGGTCCTCAAAGACTTGACATTATTGTAGACAACCTCCTCGACGCTGCCGTTGCCCCCAGGACTAGACAATCCTACCTGACAGGATTTCAAGCTTACACCAGATTTCTACTCATGTGCAACATAATTCCAGAGATACAATTACCTTATGTTCCAGTGTCACAAGACTTATTACTGTATTTTGTTGCGCCCTGTTATTCTAGTTTAGATCTTAGTTATGCAACAATTAAGTTGTACCTATGTGGCATACGCTTCCATTGTATAAGACATAATATTTCGTATCCCAATGTCAGTGAAATGCCAAGGTTATTTGCAGCCCTTAACGGTGTCAAAAGAAACCAGATAAGACCAAACAATCTTCGACAACCTGTTACTTTTGATGTGCTCAAACAATTGTGTCATTTTTTGCAACAACCTGATCAATGTATGGTTTTCAACAATGTTTTGTTACTAGCTACATGTTCAGTAGCTTTTTTCGGGTTTTTGAGATGTGGTGAATTCACTATATACAAAGATTTTGATCCATCTTCCCACATCTGCATGTCAGATATTCAAATTTTTGACGATTTGGTACATTTACGTCTAAAGATATCGAAAACTGACCCTTTCAGAAAAGGGATTGTAATCAAACTTTTCAAAAATAGCTCAGAAAGATGTCCTCATAATGCATGTTGCAAATATCTTAAATTAAGATTACAGTCCTCCCCTTCACCAAGCGACCCCTTATTTGTAACAGAAGATGGCATGGCCTTGACTAGGAGCGCCTTCATTGTCCTATTTAGGGATACTTTAGTTAAAGTCGGGATTGATTCCCAAGCTTTTAGTGGCCACTCTTTCCGCATAGGTGCTGCCACTTCAGCAGCTTCCGCCCACATTGAGGATCACCTAATCAAAGTGTTAGGCAGGTGGTCTTCAGATTCATACTGCAGATACATACGAACACCATCTGATGCTATTAGACAAGCACAACTCGCACTCATAGCAGAATAAGCATAAAAACATGCCCTTATACAAATGTTCTTCATCAATTCATGTATGCTATCTGATCAGATTGTTTCTGTTTTTTCTATAAAGTTTTCTCACTTATTATGCTATGTTTGTTCATTTGCGATTATGTGATTTTTATTTTTTCTCTCATTTTGGGGCAACTCAGCTACTCAATAATGCTATACATCATTTTCATAACTGACTTTCGGGCAATATTAACATGTTGTACCTCAACATGCAAAATTTTCCCCCCAAAATTCACAGGAAACAGACTCCCTACTGTTTCATCTGTCAGGTCATTTGATTTGCTAGGTCTAACGTTACAAGACTCCCGAGTATATCAGTTTGACGCCTCAAACTCATCATACTCAATGAGTCACGGAGTATGCCAGCTGGCTCTCCACCGACATGACCAGACATGACCAGACCTCTCTCAGCTCAACTTCCGTCTAGGTAGCGCAGTACTGTTTGACACCTCAAACATCAAACGGAGTCGTCGAGCTCGCATCAGAATATGCAGCTTACTACCACTTGGCAGAATAGCACACCCTACTGTTCTGCTCAAGTGGACCTTTAGTATGCCACATGATTCTGAGGCCTTCGTGTATCTTGCATAGTTGGGTTTGCCCTTTCGCCAAGTTTTTCTTAAATATGTATATTACTTGTGATATGTTTGTACATATGTTTTTGATATTGCATAATACAACATAATTTTAAACTTAAACTGTCTTAGTTGTTTGTTGACACAAATGACATTTATGTATATTATGAATCTTCATTTTTGTGAAAGCTTTATATACAAAGAATTTAGTAAACAAAGGGGAAGGGTGGAGGAAGAAAAACATTTTTTTAAAAAGTGAAGTGGGGGAACAGTTTTTACTATTTTACCATACTTGTACATATGAGTATAAATTCGAAAAAATAAATACATTAGAGCATATCACAAATAATTTTCCAGTTCTTTTCATATTCTGAAAATTTACAATTTCTTTAAAAAAAATAGCCTTTTCAACTAGTATTCTATCTACAATATTTTTTTTCTAGCATTGCAATACTTAATTTAGGTATATTTTTAAACCTACTGGCAAAAATAATTTGTTTAACAGTAAGTATTATTATATTGTGTAATCTATACATATTTTTATTGTTGAATTTCCCAAACAGTATATCTTTTTTATCAAAATTGATAATAAAATGGAATTTTTTTTATAAACCACTCCTCTTTATGACACCATATTTTTTTTTACACAGAAACATTTAAAAAAATAAATGTTCTATTCTTTCAATTTCTTGTTTACAAAATGAGCAAACAGGTGACTCAATTAGTTTAAGTTTGTAAAGGTATTTATTTGTTGCAATAATCCTGTGCAGGATTTGAAATTGCATCCACTGAAATTTTGCCGCTTTTTAAACTTTAAATGGTAATTCAAAAAGTTTGTTCCATTCTAACGCGCCAAAAGATATTCCATTATTTTCCCATTTTTCTAATGCTTTAATTGTTTGCTTTTTCTTCTTGATGAGTATATTGTACATATCTTTACAACCATTTGTACTTTTATAAAAAATGTAAATTGAATTTGGGATAAAAGGTCCACTTTCTTCTCTTTTTTCAATATCAATACTTTTCAATATCTTTGTACCAGCTATTTTTAAACCTGTATACTCTACAAAATTAGTTTGTACATTCAGATTATTGAGGTACTCGAGGCTTATAAATTAGGTAAATTTAGTGACTCAAACATATACGGAAGTTGCCAGCTATATTAAAGAACCAAAAGCAGACTGTTTCATTTGATTTTTGCGAAATGTTCGGGAGAATAAAGGCATAAAAGTAAGTTTATTTAGACTTTTTTTAATGTAAATTTAGCACATGGCTAAATAAAATGTGCTTGTATGCAATTTATTGAAATGTTTCAATAAAGCCACTATTTATACTTATTTTATAGACGAATTAAAATTCAGATAACAGTTAATTATAATTCAGTTTACATTCAGACTCTCAAATCCGATATTCGAAAGAAACATATAACATATCTAATAAATTGTACGTAATTGTTTTAAGATGAAAACGTTTGGATCCCTGTTTATAGTTCAGTTTTTATTGATGACAAAGGTTTGTTTTCACAAGTATATAGGTAAAATGTGTAAGTTATGATGTAGAAAGATTTCGTTTATTTCACATAAAAATTGGCGATTTCAAAGACATAAGTTCTATGACCCACACATTAAACAGTAGAGGGGAGGATTTCTTTTAGTTGATTTATGATTTTATAGGTATACCTTTTAAAATTTCGGAGATAATTTTAACAATTGTATTTAATTGCTGGATAATCAACAATAATTTTGCAACATGTTGTGTCTACTATTGAAATAATTATTCCAGAAGTCGTTAAGAATGCTCTACAAAACAAACGATACATAGTATCAACTAATCACAATACTTTTAAAATAACCACTGTTATTAAAGTAACTATTTCAATATAATAATTGTATTGTTGAGAGGTTATTTCATGTTTACCAGGCCCGTTCCCTTGGCTGTGGTTTTGCTAGATAGTGGATATAGGGACAGTGGGAATCTCGTTTATCCATACGAACAATTTCTCATTACAACCACTATCGAAAGAGTAATATTGAAAGATATTCAAAGCTTTAATGGTAACGAGAAATAAAACAAAAAGATAAACATGGTGGCCTCGTTTTTTTTAATCGTAATATTTTCCTTATTTACTTACATATAGTTATATACCCTAATCCCCTGCATACGGGGTTTAACGAAACCGAGTCTAATTATTTCTGCCCTAGGGATTTTGATAATTTTTTGATAATTAATTTTTACTGTTATATTTAATGTTTTAGGATTAAAAAATCGAATGTTTACCACCCCGATTTCTTAGTGGGCCATCTTAAATGTTGTCAAACTTTACTATTGGACCCTATGGGAATTTGTTGGAAAATCGCCAAATTATTACATTTTTTCAAATTTTTTTGTACTTCTGCCCTAGGGATTTCTTTTTCATTCAAGTAAATGAAAGTTAATGTAAAAAGTCACCAAATTGTGAAATTTCAAAAAAGTTCACCATCTCGATTGGTCTAGGTAGTATTTACTAATTTTATTTTTTGGAAGCCAAATACCTCTAAAATTGCCATATTACGGTATAAATACATATCTTTGCTGATAAATTATCGGTGCTTACAATTTTTTTCGACATATAAATAGCAATTTTTAGATTGCTAGTTTGTTTCGTGGGAAGTTATGTCATCAGTTTTTAGTATAATATCCATGGACGTCTTGAACATACAAGCGAGTCATGCGTCATGCATTGCTTACAAAATCCGAAAATGGTGACGTTGTTAGAGCCATTTCAACGTTCTTTTTCCAATAATTGTCGTAAAATCACATTTTCAGATCAGTAGGAGTTACAAATAATGTTAATTTTGTATTAAAATTAAAATAATTAATGACTGCATGAAATTAAATAGCTGTGCAAAGTGATGCGCACTCGAATTAGAATCGGCTTCGTTAAATGATTCCATACACAGTAGCAAGCTAATGACAAACGGATTTATGAAATAAGAATATCAACAGTCTTGTTTGAAGTCATCTTTTTGCAAGTTTTACTTTGGTCGCTACAATGTCATTTTCAGTTAATTATACCTATCAATGAGTTAAATAATGACTGAAAAAAAATTTTCATACTAATTGTTATTGCCGTACTATTCAAACCCATTTCCCCCGTTCTTCCTGTCCATCGAGTACACGACTGTTGTGATCGGTTTGCAGGGAATGCTCCCTATTATTTAGCGCTTAATACCTGAGTTGCATTTTTAAAAAGGAATTTGAGCTATCAATATATATGTTTATGTACAGCAAATGTTGTTTCATATAGTTTATATAAAACACACTGCTGAAATATTATTGGGTATTACCAATTTATTCAGTAATAATCATCTTTTTTATACCATTAATCAAATAACACTCTCGATCGCAATAATATGCATTTATGAAGTATCTTAGGCTGTTTTTTGTTTAAATGACAGGTTATTTTATAGAAATATTGGTAGAGAAGTATACATCACTTTTAAAGTTGCATTTGAATATTAATAAAAACTGCGAAGCTCAAAAATACTTCAATGGGAAAAATATTTTTGTTTACAATGAAACATTAACTTTTCAATTTTGGTATGTTTTTCTGTTTTGTTAAAAATCAAATAATTATACGTTTTTTTGAATAGCTAGTGTTCTTCCAGTGTGTTCGAATCATGGCCGCGGTTAAGGCGATCAGATTCGCGTCTGACCCTCAGCCGATGGAAAATAGGAACTGTAAAGTTATAACCAATCAATATGGCGTTCAATACTTTATCTAAAGATAGATCAGGGCCGCTTACAACATACACAAAACACGGAGTGCTTATATCATTGAGAATACACAAAATTAAATGTGATAACATTACATCTCCCTTTTTTTAAAGATTTTTTCTTTCTTAAAATCATAAGAACTGAAGCATGAATTAAAGTCAATTCACTAAAACAACAAATCAAGTAATTAACAGTTTATGAACAAATAAAGTCCTCAAGATATTTAGGTCGTCTCACTGTACGCTGTGGTCTCGGTTCTTGACGCGGAGCGGAAAACGAATCTGATTGGCTCGGTTGCGGCTGAGGCGGCTTATCCAACATCGATTCGGTGCATGTGTCATCTGGGACAACCGATGGCAAGGTAGTTTCACCAGTTTTGAGCAGCTGTCTGCGGTTTCTGCGATAAAGCTTGTTATCTCCTGTGCGCACTACATAAGATCGGTCCGAATGTTCCTGATCTACTACAGCAGGTTCCCAGTGTTTGGAATCTTTCTGTACACGTATAATTTCACCTCTGTTGATGCTTGGCAAAGTTGAGGACTGGCGATCATAATATTGTTTTTGTTTCTCTTGGCGTGCGACAAGTTTCGGCTTGCAGGATTCGACAACTTTAGGATTCAACATGTCCGATGTTATTGGTATCTTAGTACGCAACTGTCTATTCATGAGTAGCTGGGATGGTGAAAGTCCTACTCCATCAATCGGTGATGCGCGGTAGTTAAGACTTGTGTAGATGTCAGATCCAGATTCATCAGCTTTTCTGAGCAGATTCTTTACAGTCTGAACACACCTCTCCGCCTGTCCATTTGATTGTGGGTATCTGGGACTTGAGGTGGTATGAATGAAATCCCAATCGGTAGCGAACTTCTTGAATGCGTAACTTGAGAACTGAGGTCCGTTGTCTGTGAATAGTTCAGTCGGAATGCCATGACGAACAAACACAGATTTAAATGCAGTGATTGTTTGTGAACTGGATGTTGTAGGCATTCGGACTATTTCCGGATATTTGGAATAGTAATCGACACACAAAAGGTATTCCGAACCTTTGAAATGAAACATATCAGCTGCGACTTTGGCCCATGGGCGCGAGGGAATCTCCTGAGGAATCAATGGTTCCTTACAATTAGAATTCCTGTACTTGTTACACACTGCACATTGTCCAATAAAGTTTTCAATATCCTGGTTCATCTTTGGCCAAAATAGTATTTCTCGTGCTCGTGTCTGTGTTTTTACTATGCCCAGGTGGGCTTCATGTAGCTTATTCAGCATCTCGGTTTTCAAGCTGATCGGTACCATAAGTCGTTGGCCTTTGTACAAGAGTCCATCAATGGCTGTTATTTCATCTCGGTAATTCCAGTATTGAATGATATTCAACGGAACACTCGACCGTTCAACTGGCCAACCAACCAATACCGTATTCTTCAGCGTCTGTAATGTCTCATCTGCAGCAGTTGCCTCTTTGAGCTGTTGCAGTTTTTCAGGGGACACAGGAAGTTGTGCCTCAATCGAATTTACATCTATCTCATCATCAACGAGAATCTCGGGAGTCTCTTTCAGGTAAGACCGACTCAATGCATCTGAGATATGCATCTCTTTACCTGGTACATACACTAGCTTGAGATCGTAGCGCTGTAGCTTCATAAGCATTCGCTGAAGTCTCGGAGTCGCTCGGTAAAGTGGCTTGTTGTAGATTGCGACGAGGGGTTTATGGTCTGTTTCCACAGTCACACTTCGCCCGTAAATGTAGTGATGAAACTTCTCGCATCCATACACTATTGCTAACATCTCACGTTCAATCTGAGCATACCGCTTCTGTGTCTCTGTAAGCGCACGTGATCCATATGCTACAGGATGCCCATCCTGGAGAAGTACTACTCCTAGACCTTTTGTGCTTGCGTCGCCTGAAATGGTTACTGGCTTGCGTACATCGTATATACTTAGTACCGGTGAGCTGGAAACTAACTGTTTCAGTCTGCTGATGCTCTCCTGCTGAGGCGAATCACAGTGCCATTCTACATCTTGTTGTAGGAGCGTACGAAGTGGAGCTGTCACGTCAGACAAGTTCGGTATGAATTTCGCTACATACTGAACAACACCTAACACCCGTTTCACTCCTGATACATCTGTTGGTGAAGGCATATCCACTATCGCTCGAACTTTCTCGGGATCTACTTTGATACCACTGTCCGTAATCAAGTGTCCTACGTACCTCACTTCTGGTACACGGAACTCCACCTTACTCTTATTTAACTTAAAGTTCATTTCGCAACACCGTTGTAACATCTGTTGTACACGGGAATCATGTTCCGCAGTGGTCTCACCCCACACTAAGATGTCGTCGACAATGCATTCCACGCCCTTCAAGTCAGAAAACATCTCCTGTACCCGTTTCGAGAACACTTCCGGCGCGGAGCTTATTCCAAAAGGCAAACGTAAGTACCTATACCGGCCAAACGGGGTATTGAATGTCAATAACTTAGAACTTGGCTCATCAAGTTTGATATGCCAGAAACCATGGGTGGCATCGAACTTCGAAAACACTTTAGCTCGTGGCAGCTTTTCGATCACTTCTTCAACTGTTTGTAAGTGGTAGTGCTCTCTCTTAATCGCACGGTTCAGATCCTTTGGATCGATGCAAAGTCTTATCTTGTTTGGTTTGCGCACGGTAACTAGACTATGTACCCAGTCAGTTGGCTCATCTTGCTTCGTGATAACCCCTAGTGTTTCCATTCTCTCAAGATCTGTTTTTACCTTGTCACGTATTGCTGCAGGAACTTTTCGCGGTGGATGTATGACCGGAGTAATGGTTTCATCAATGTTGATGTGGTGTTTCCCAGGGAGCTCACCTAGTCCTTTGAAAACATCCTCATAGGTAGTGAGTACATCCTCCTTTGTCAACTGTTTTTCAACAGAATGTACTCGCACAATAGATCCGATCTCCGAACAAGCATTTTTGCCAAGTATTGCCTGTGCCTTTGTATTGACGATGAAAAATGGTAAGTCATATTTTCTGCCACGCACAGAACATTCCAGAATCTTGGTTCCCTTCGGTGTTATCTCGGCTCCACCATATGTGACTAATCTGACCTTCGTGTGTGTTAGCTGCTGATCATTTAAGTCTAACTGATCAAAAACATGTTTTGGAAGAATGTTCGCTTGAGCACCAGTGTCCAGTTTGAAGTTTACTTTGTGGTCATTAATTGTCAATGTCTCGATCCAATCACTCTTTTCTTGATCCACGGTGTTAATCTGTAAGGTTCCAATGAAAAGTTCTGTATCCACATCTGAGTCACTGTCATGTGGTACTCGTACAGTGTGAATCTTCTTTGCACTTGTCGATTGTTTTGATAAACAATATTTCGCAAAATGATTCTTCTTCTGACAACGATGACAAATTTTTCCATATGCAGGACAGTCACCAGTCAAATGTTTTCTTCCACAATTGCGACATGGCTTACCTCCAGTACTGTCAGGCCTTTGATTTTCAGTTCTTTGTTTATCATGTTTTGTGTTCTTTTGTGAGCTGAGTTTCCGGCCACTATTTGACTTACGTATGGCTGCTATGGACTGTTCCTCAGATCCTTTCAGAGATTTTAACTGTTTTGTACTCATTTCTTGAGCTCGGCACACATCGATTGCTTTGCTCAGTGTCAAATCAGTTTCTCTTAATAAACGTGCACGACATGCTTCATCCTGAATACCACACACTATTCTGTCTCTGATTAATCCGTTCGTTATATGTTCGAATTCACAAGGCTGCGCTTTATTTTTTAAATCTGTCACATAATTGTCTATGGGCTCGTCCTGACCCTGATTCCGTGTGAAAAACACATGTCTAATGTATGTCAAGTTCTTACGAGGCTCACAGTACTCTTTAAACTTAGTTTTCAATATATCTATCTTTTCCGTATCTTCGCCTTCGAGACCGAAAGAATTATAAACACGGCGTGCTTCGATGCCGGCCACGTGCAAGAAAGTAGCTACCTGTATTTTCTCGGCTTTCTCTGCAATTCCTGTTGCTGTTAGATAAAGCTCAAAACCTTGTATCCACTCCTTCCAGTTCTCCGCAAGATTTCCTTCCATCGAAAGATGGTCTGGAGGCTTCAGTTGCTCCATTAATCCTTGCGTTGTACGGTTTTAGCTTCTGACACCATGTAAAGTTATAACCAATCAATATGGCGTTCAATACTTTATCTAAAGATAGATCAGGGCCGCTTACAACATACCCAAAACATGGAGTGCTTATATCATTGAGAATACACAAAATTAAATGTGATAACATTACAGGAACCAACCATCCCTAGTCCAAATGCTCGGCACTTTTGAAATAAAAGTTTTGGGTCCTTTGGATGAAACCTTAAAACCGAGGCCCTGTGTCACTACAGGCGTTGATACGACTGCTTCGTAGTAATAAAAGGTTAAATTTGAAGCCCTTCGCCGATTTATGGCGACGTATGTAAAATTCTCGACCGGAAGGTAAAACAAAATACATGTACAATCAATCAATCCCTCTTATTTTGTTTTGAATATTTTCTAATAATTTCAATCTTAATTTTTTTTTATTGATTCCCCGTGTTTTGATTGGACGAGAACAAATTCAAGAAAAAGATTACACATCGATGAATTTTTCAATCAGAACTACTTTCTTGACCTTGCTTCTAGGCTGTTGTAAAAACAATGAAAACAGATACTTCTAGTCTGTTTTAGCTAAATTATGATTACAAGAAACTTGAAATTAAAAATAAAAAGCATAACAGGCGACAAACAGGACTGACAGATGGAAATATTATGTTTATGTCACTGTCGGATCACGAGTAAATTTAAAAATATCGCTGTCAGATCATGCTGTCATATAGATCTCGACGTTCCATTCCAGCTCAGTTGGTATCGTTGTGATAGGAAAAAGAAACGTACCTCAGCCTTATCAGCATCAAATTCATATAGGCCTTTTCACATCCTACATATCCCCAGGGCCTATTCTTCCTAAATATTTGAACAAACCAGAGCAATTCGAGAGCGTCGTCGGTCTGCAATTTTCGCTCTGAGCGTTGTCGTTAATATGTCAACATGGCCATGGTCAAGGACGAATTATTCTTGAGTATTTACGATATTTGTTGACTTAACCATCATTCGATGAGTTTTTATAAGTTTATTTATTGATTGTTTTGACAATTAAGTTGTATTTTATCGATATCCATCTTGTTTACGTTTCTTTGCAGCATAAAGTATTCCTACGCCGTGCAAAAAAAAAAACAAAAAAAAAAACAAAAAAAAAAAAAAAAAAAAAACCGACTGTATGGCGGCCTCAAAGAGAAATAATTTTAATAATTTTTAAACATTCGTAATTGGAATTATAAGAATTAAACGTTCTTTTTTTCAGAATTTATCGATGTGTAAACTCTGCATTTTTACTCACAAACTTTACATAAAAGTGATTCGCACTTTTATTCAGTTTGTGAGTAAAAAGGCAGAGTTTACACATCGATAAATTCTGAAAAAAGAACGTTTAATTCTGTAACAAATATACAAAGATTTGGTGTTTTCCAGTGATCCTTTAAAAATATACAGCTATATTATTTTGATACAAAATGTTTCACAGACATGCTCTTTTTTCGCACGTTTATATAATATGTTACGCATTTTAATGAAATTAAAAATTACAAAGTTGTA